CGCTATTGAATGCCCTGATCGGAGTACTCTGCTTCTTGCTTTGGTAATTCATTTCAGCAACTGTCAATGGTTTTCCTTTTATTCCGACCCTAAACGTCTCCGATAAACAGTCATTTAGCTGGGTTGTTAAATGGAAATGAATTGTGAAGTTCTGCACGCCATGAAAACATCGACAGCTACATTGACTCAAAACAAATTTCACCAAGGTATTTGTTAACGTTGTCCAACGGTTGGTTGGTGGCATCCGGTTCCGGAGTTGCCCGTCACTGTGGCCTCTATAGGACAGCCACAGGACGCCTGCGCCTACAGAGGGACCATGGGTGGTTTGCGCTGCATCACTCACACAACCCATATCCAGTGTAAACCCGAAGGAATAAGACCGGGAGGCATGTGGATGGGAAGCAAGTTTCATCAACGGAGGCGGACAACACTCCTACATAGGCAAACACAAGCACGCTGTACTTAGAGAATCAAGCACATACAAGGCGGTGGCTGTACCGTAGTCCGCTCCACACTGAGTGCATGGAAGTACTCTACGAGCGTAGCACAGCAACGTGGACCGTGCACCCCATCCCCTCCAGCAACGATAAACTGTCTTTCAACTCAAGCAGAATGCCCATTTGTTACGCCAAGTTCGGAAAGATAAACAAAACACGAAGTTTTAAGCGAATAATTGTTTTCGGTTAATTCTTCTTCAGGCTCATACAATGATATACATTAGGGTAAGGTCTGTTGCAATCGTCAGCATAACAAAGAAACAATTGACCAGAAAATTTAACTTCTGATCATGAAGGCAGTCATCTGATCACATGATTGAAGTCAGGTGGAGTTGCGGAGTACCATCAATTCCTTCCCGGCTGGTGATCGACCAGGGAAGTTGTAGTGTTTGTATCAGCTTCTTCTAGACACACAAGTCCGAATTTGTTAGGCGTATGCATACTGCCTCAGCGGTGGTAGATGCTCTACAAAATAACACGAAGGCAAAACCATCGTGTAAGAGCAAGCCAACCTGCCACCGCTGAGGCAGTATGCACACGCCTAACAAATCGGGACTTGTGTGTCCAGAAGAAGCTGATACAAACACTACAACTTCCCTGGCCGACTACCAGCCGGGAAGGAAGTGATGGTACTCCGCAACTCCACCTGACTTCAATCATGTGATCAGATGACTGTCTCTAGGAGCCAGTATAGACGAGGTTGTGGGTAATAGACAGGTAGGTACCTTGTCAACATGCCCATCGAACACAGCCACACAGGGGATGGCAAGTAACAGCCAATCACATGAATGTCGAATAGAAGAGATTGAATGAATCGTACGGATTTGCCGCTAAATTTGCATAGAAAATAAGTGGATTATCAGAATAGCCGTGATAGCTACAGGATGATAGAAAATGAGATCAAGACACATATGTTCGAAGAAAAAATAAGAAGTTAAACATCTATAGTTTAAGCGAAACGTGCAATTAAACACATTATTCAGGTCCATATTAAAATGAGATAAGAAAACCACACTTAGAAGAGGTGGCAAACCAACAAGCTAAAATAAAGAAACTCAGCACGCAAGCACGCCGGTAGTAAATCGAATGCAGTGTACCTACCAACGCTGTGCCGGTCCTGCCTAAGTTCTCACCAGGACTCGTCGTCGTTTCGATGCTGGACACGAGTGGCCTCGTTCGCTGCTCACTAAACCTGCGTGACTAAGGCACTCGCGACCGCATGTTCTACAGCACCATGCGCTCGATGTCGATGGAGAACAACCCATCGGTGCTTGCCGCTTCTTCTCCGCATGCATGAGGTCTTTCTCTCGCGCCAAAGCAAGTGCCTTCGTGATCACATCGCGCCATGCACGCTGACCAACCGCCTTCAATTCTCATGACTTGCAATCAAGATTAGAATGTGAGAGGCTCAGTTTAATCATGTCCTGGTATCGTAACTTCGCATTTGCCACGTGTTGTTCCAATGCAATCAGTTAGCCATAAAGTAGCTGTTTCGGTATCCGGGTCGAATCCATGCGGCGAATTTGCCCGAGCCACCTCAGGTGCCTCAGGATAAGGATGTAGTCCACTGCAGACAGGTCACTGTGTCTGAGCACCTCCGTGTATCCTACTAGGTCACGCCAGGCGATGCGCATAATACGGCGCAGACACTAGTGATGGAAGCGCTCCAGATATCGGACATCCTTCCGATAAACCGTCCAGGTTTCACTGCCGTATAGAAGAACGGACAGCACCATGGACTTATATACCAGCAGCTTCATCCCAACAGTAAGCCAACGGTTGTCACACACCGCATTTCAGCTTGCCAAAAGCAGCAGCCGCCTCTGATACACCGCTGTGCAGCTCACATGTCCTCTGCTGGTCGGTCGTTATTACGCTACCGAGGTGGCAAAATCGCGTAGTGGTTTCCAACACTTCCTCGACAATCGGAATTTCGGGCAAGCCTACGGACTCCATTCCGAGTGAAGACTGGAAAAGACAGACTTGTTTGTGTTCATGGTTAGCCCGAATTTAGCCGCTGTCGAAGCCAGAGCATTAGTCATGCACTATAACTCATACAGGCTATGCGCAAACAATGCACAGTCGTCAGCAAATAGCAACATACGGAGAGTTGTCTCACAGACTAGAGTTCTTGCGCCGAAACGACGGATGTTCAGCAACCCACCATCAATACGGCGCTCCACACGAACGCCGTAAGCACAAGACATCATTGCATGATGATAAATATTAAACAGGGCAGGAGCTAAGACACAGCCCTGCTTCACACCAGAGCAAGTGCAGCCATCCGAGGTCTGTCCACTCAACCGCACCCTCGCCCGCATACCACTGTGCAGACAATCAATGAAACTTAAACTGCCTATAAATTACCAATACAACGACACTGGCAGTTGCAGTAAACGTGACTGCTACAGCAACTGCAATAATTGGAATGGTACAAAGTTAGATTTCAGAGCACTCGCCGTGTGGATAGACTGCGACAAGCAATTTAAATTTGGATCTGATTTAGTGTGAAACAAGCCTTGGCCATACAAAGCACTGGGACCGCAACGCCGAGAACTTCCCGTTTTCGCGTGCGATCCCAGTGAGCTGAATGACCGAAGTTGGTTTCAAAGTAACTCGAGGTCCAAACTGAGAGTGCGGCAGTTCAAACACACGGCGAAATCGCCTACAAAACTCGTTAGTAGATAACCAATAAGAGACCAGTTCTCGTGAACCCAATGAGTATGTGCTGAACCTGTCAAACATTCCGGTAACAAATTACAATTAGAGGCATTAGCGCTAGGACTGGATGGTGACACTCCTCGTAGCAAGCCCAACCACTCGTTCATACAGGCCCAGTTTGTGAATTTCTTTGATCAGTTAACAGACACCCAGCCGGAATGCAACGAGACAATGCCAAATGTTAATATCTGTCAGTTTTCGTCTAGTTAGTTATGCGGCGAGTACTCTGAGACACAAAGTCGAATCCTTAACGACTGTGCCAGGCGTTGCTCGCGGACCACAGTGGACTAGTGTTCAACGTGTGGACCATCAAACATCCTTTCTGCAGTCGCACTTCTACCTCCAGCCACCTATCACTGATGAATCCAAACAAAAACGAGTCAATCGGGGAGTGCAATTATGGGAGGAGCAACACAGAAGATTACAACCACAACTGTTTCTATGAACCGGCGACCCATTAGGTGCTAAGGGTATACCATCTACTTAAGATCATGTGCACAGAACTACACTGATTCGTAGACTGCATGATAGCAAAATGAGGATATCAAACAAACTCAGATTTCTGGTATCAGGTGGCGCCAGTGTCCGCAAGTACAAAGATAAGTTTTAAACGACGGAGAGCGGGATAAGCTGTCGGTTCCATAAATACAGCAGAGATCGATTTGACCGAGCCACGTTCCCGCCCAATGCTTCTCAAAAGAGTGTAGTTCTGTGAGCCCTCTGGAGACGTTATGTTAATGGACGATGTGGAGTTTCCGAGTCATAAATATGCCTGGCCCGTAGCCTAAAGAGCTTGTCTTGTAATCTTGCAGCGCGGGTTCGAGCCTTGCTTAGTGACCGGACGACCCACGCATTATTCTTAGCCCACGGACGACCGATGCGGGTTGCGCGGCAGAGAAGCGCCGGTACTGCGTACCGGTGTATTGCCGATGCCTTTATAGAAATAGATGGAAACCTATTTTGCTCAACCAAAATTGAATGGCACAAAGTTCGAGGAGAGCAACTAGAGGTCAGGCAAAGAGCAATGAGGTGGTTTTTCTTAGGCTAGTCCCTGTTAGTCCATATCGTTTTCTAAGCTATGCCTCCTGTGTTGGGCTTGGAGTTACGGAGGACGTGTCGCACAACCGGCACATGTGGTATCTTTGCTATCGCTACCTGATCGAAAAGTATGTGGTATGAACGCGTGGCTCCGATGGATGGGTTAAATGTGACACGGGACAGTGAAAATTAAGGAAGTCGATGCGTCTATGCCGATATTCTAGAAGGCTCTCTAGAATCATGTGCTGACAGCGTGGGATTGCCTAGTACAATAATGTCTCACATTTTCACCGTCTTCTTCATAGTCACTAGTACTGATGTATCTTTTGTCTTAGGGTAGCAAGGCACCATTATCAAGTATTGGCTACCTACTGGTGACGATGATGAGGAAGCACAATCGCCTGATAGCAAGGATGCACCAATCGAAAGCTGAGGACTTTGGAACAAACACTGCGTTCAGAATGTACAGAAGTAGCCGACAACCGAGGATTTTCCATCAAATTGGTGCACAGATAGACACAGTGTAAAACGGCGGGAAACGGATAAAAAGTGAGATTGTAATGAACAAATATAAGGCTTAAGTGAAACATCCATTGATCCAACTGGGTCCGAGAATTCCTCTCTCGATTGCACACAAATTCGAGAACATCGGGTAGCAACCTGCCGAAAACGGTTTGTGGGTGCCACCGTCATTAGTGGAAAGCCGGATGAGAGGAAAATGATGGATGCGATCACATGGCCCATTTATTGTTCAAGCAATGCAATGATATCCTTCTCAATTTCCTATAAAGAAAAAATGGAAAATAATGCCAAGTTCAATAGTTAGGCACGAGAGTTGCTTACTCGATAAAGGTAGCATGGAATGTACCGGCACAACTATTCAGAGTAGGCGATGAAGTGGACACGAGCTGATGGGTTACAAATAACTTGAAACACCAGTATCTCCAGATGTTCTTTGGAATGATATATGTCACGCGCACCAACAGAGTAAAATAATCACTCCCACATGGAAACCATATTTCCATGACCAACGGTAATCGCACCAATATACACGAATACACTAATGGGTAGCTGAGCACACAGAGCACTGTCGTTTTGTTCAGTGATGAAACTAAAGCCTAGTTATCCAGCACGAAAAGCACATAAACGATTGGGCAAGATGACGGTACAAAAGAGAGCGTTCAATAATCGGGAAGGTGTAACGAGTGAAAAAAGTGAGTGAAAGTGGCCAAAACTTTCGTTTACCAGTTACGGCACAGTTTCGAGCCTATCACCGTGGCAAGAGAACGCGGACTATTGATGGGTATAAAAGGGATGAAGTGGTAGGTGGTTTATGAATGTAGAGCAATAAGTTTCCGCATGCACGAAATGTTTTATTTTCACGACAAAATAAGCATTACATTTTCTCGGAGTACTCTCCACCAGCGTTCATGCGCAGTTCCATGAGCTCAAACCATTTGGAGAAACAGCTAGACCATGCCGAAGCGGGTAACCCTTCAAGCAACTCAATAAAGGCCTCTATTGCAGCTCCTGGAGACTCGCAGCGGATTCCACGCATCGTGCGTTTGACATTTGGGAACACAAAAAGTCACACGGAGCCAGATCTGGACTGTAGGGTGGGGGGCCATCCTCCAGGATGTGTTCTCTAGCCAGAAAATCTACGAAGACATGGGACCTGTGTGCAGGCGCGTTGTCATGGTGCAGCAAGGTCTCTCCTGCTCGAATCCTTGGACGACATCTGGCTACAGCTTCCAGCACTTATAACAGATAATGGGTGGCATACCAGTCTCCGGTGACTGTGGGTTGCCGTATGAGCGGTACGGTCACGAACACAGCCACCATTTGCTTGGCCACACTGCGCTCAAGACGGAATTTCTGATGTGGCGCCCCACCAACGACTGTCCACTGAGCCGACTCTTGCTTAGTCGCTGGGTCGAAACTGTGTACCCAGGTCTTATCACTACTGAGGATTTTGAAAACGGCATTGGAACGTCTACCATCAAACCTGACAAGCACGGTGCTGCACCAATTCACCCGAGTTGATAGGGTACTCAGCGTGCGCAAATCTTTCTGAGGCCGAGGTTCTCATGAAGGGTGGTGCGGATTGATCTCGATGAGATCTCGATGGCTTTACCCAGCTGTATCAGTCACACGCGCGTTGTCCTCCAGCATCGGTTGCGTATCGACAATTTTATCCATAGTGGTGACCTAACCAGGTCGACCACATCGTACTTCATCATTCAGGGAACACCTGTCACGCTTTAATTCCGTAAACCGCTCAAACACATTGGTTCTTGAAAGCGCATCATCACCAAACGCAGTACGCAATCGCTTAACACTCTGAAGCTTCTTTAAGTCACATCTGTAGTCAAAAAGTCATCGCCCTCCGTTTATATCGACTGAGTTCCAGACTTACGGTCAGAGTATGGCGATCCTTATGGTTTGTGAACTGGGAAGTTAAAGAAGCGCCTTCAGACAGGCGACTGTTAACTGTCGTGCTCATCCGCAAAACGGGTCAAGGGACTTGATGTGAAGATCACCGAGGCATTGGTCTCATTCTCATTTCCTCCAAACTTATCACGAGTACAATTCACCGGCGACGTAATGGTCCGCGTCAGAGCCAAAGCACTGAAAACCAGGCTAGTTTCCGTCAAGGTCGTGGTTGTATCGACCAAAGATTTACACTTAGCCAAGTTGTAGGGCAGAAAAACACTTACAGACAACCAACTATGGTAGTTCTCTTTGAATTGGGAGCGCCTACAATCATGTTGATGGAGCCAGCTTATGACACCGCCTACTCGTAAGAAGAGTGCCTGAAAAAACCCTTTCACTCAGAAGCCGCTTTACCGTGACATCCGACGCCGACAAATGCCACGGGAAGCTATCTCATGGGTTCTCCACAACAACTGGGATTCGCAAAGGTTTTCCTATACCTCCCTTCCTCTTTACCTTTGTGATAGAAATGATCATGAATGTCTACGTTCGTTCAGACTCTTCCAGAGTGGAAGTGCTGCTAAGTAATCGACTGATAAACCTTCAGCGGGCTGATGACATAGCTCTTCTTGCGTATGAAACAGTGACATTACAAGCACTTTGTGAACGGATTGATGCGTAGAACTGCAAATTCCAGCGTGCTTTGTATCGTTAAAGTGCAAGTTATTGTCGCAGGACTGCAGTGATACATCAGCGACTTTAGCAGTCGGTGAGCTGCCATTGGAACGAGTACATCGGTTCATTTGCGTTGGAGGTTACTCCGCCTATCAGCAAGACTCAACTGGAGGTTTAGAAGCTCAACCATCTATGGAGACGGCAAAATATCAGTCTGTCAGTCAGAGGTCAGGTGCAGAATTCTGCGGAGCATTGCTCACATCTGGTGGGAATACCGGTTGCGTAATGCTGAGGTCTGCCAATTGGTTTTTGCAAAGATGGGAAACCCTCTGGTTCCTCAATAAAGGGTTGGATACAGCTCATCTATTTAGACCGGCTAAGTCATGTCCTCCGCAGGCTCGTAGACCGCCTTCACGGCGTGCATTATGTGCCGTGGCTGCACCAGGTTGGGCGAAACCGCGAGGTGGCCAGTCGATGAAGTGGAGCAAGGGCATGAAGAAATTGGCTGAGACTTGGTTAGGCTGGTGCGTAACGTCTTCGTGGGTGGGGTCTCGGGATGGTCCATATCAGTGTTTGGAGACCCACGAACATAGTAAAACTGCAGTTAATGAAACTACGTTATCTCGTTTCTTGTAGCTAGATGCCAATTTTCCTTATATCCCGATGCATTTTACGCACTTCTTTGTTAACTCCATTTTATCATATCCTATTTGTATCGAAGCTCATTTTACTACTGTTGTTATTTATTGTTTGTGCCTCATGCTGAGGTTGAAGTTGCATCTATTGTGCCTCTTCACCGCAGTTGGGCTAGTGTGTTTTACGCTTGTTCCACATTACGCTAGATCCGAATGAATCTACTTTACTTTATTTTCTCAGTTCTGTCAATGCTCCGCACGTTTCTTGTTTATTTTGCACGTTTTTCTTTCATTCTCAATGTTGTCGGTCGAAATCTTCTGAATAACACACTTGCCCATGGACTAGCCCAAACATAACACGCTTCTATGGTTGACGCCGTTTTCTTATTCTGCGGCACATCTACTGTCCAGTTTGCGTGTTTATTTTCTTTCATATTATGCGTTTATCGTTTGATAAACCAGGTGTGGCTGCGGGCGATTTAAATGTTAACTTGTCGAAAAATTTCTACCTCGATCATACTGGCTCCATGAAATAGTTAGTCGTTGCAAGGGAAGACGGCATGCACGGTCCTCGTGACCGTGCTATGCTCAAAGAATAGTTCCATGCATCCAGTGTGGAACGTGCTAAATCCCCGCCACTGCCTTAGGGACGTCTGCTACAGATGATTCAACAGTAAGACAGGCAGGAATGCTGTTGTGGTGCACGCTGAAGAAGGGTAGGCCGGCTCCGTTGAGGAAACGTGGCTGCCATACGCATGCTTCCAGCTCTTATTCCTTCGTGTTTATACTAGATATGGGGTTGGTAGATGGAGCTGTGGGTGGTGCAGCGCAGTGTTTTGGTGAATAATCTTGATATAATATTTACAACTGAATCTTGGCGCCATGATGACATGTCTGACAATCAGTTAAATAGTTTCGGATACGACAAATTTATGAGAAATCGGCCGTCGTCGAGGTGGTGGCTGTGTAATTTATCCGAAAAATTCACTCACACCAGCAACGTTTAAAAACCCAGTGCTGAACGATGCCCAGGAATTACTATGGTTTACGATATCTGTTAATCAACAGCAGCTACTTATGGGACGTATCTACAGCGCGCCAAACTACAGCCAAGAAGACCTAGAACTTTTGACACTTGCATGTGAACGCGCCGCTAGCCTACCATGTACACATAAGATAAGTGGAGATGATTCTAATCTGCCCACAATTTCATGGCCCATGGGAACCGCTCCTTAGAAATGCCAAAATCTTATCTCCTGTATCCAATTGAATGGCTGTCAGCAATACGTCTCCCAACCTACCAGAGGTGAAAGTATTCTGGATCTCATTTTTTCATTTGGCATACTTTCAATCAGTGTTAACGTTTTTGAATTTCCGGGGAGCGATCATTGCGTGATCAAATGCCGCCTAAAACTACACATGGCCGATCTACAGAACACAATGCATCATCGTCTGTTCAGTTCCGTCAACTGGTACTCTTTCAAAGACCTGGCTCGTTCGATGAATTGGGATAAATGCTCTCTCTCTCTTCATGTCCTGAACATGCGACGGACCTATTTTATAGTATAAGTATCTTCTGCATCGATTCAACAGTACCACTAAAATGTGCTTACCAAACTAAACATAAATCCGATCGCAATACGTTGAAGGTAGCACGAAAGCTTCAGAAGATTCGGCAGAAATTCAGGTTAACTATTGATTTTACGCTATTACAGCAGTCCAAGCTCGTCGAAGAACAGAGGCAACAAAATGACAAAACTCTCATTCTAGAAGAGTATAAAGCTCTGAACGGCCCTAGTAACACAGCTGAGCTAACCACACTACTCCGTGCCGGGGATTCGCATTGCAGCAACAATTTCAATCTTAGCCCGTCTGATGGAACATACTACGAGGCACTAGGTAATATCTGCGAAGCTTTCAGCGCTTATTTTGCCGAATCAATGGTCAATGAATCAGCAGTCATACCAGCACCTCTCAAGCCGCACAACAATGTAAGTATATGCACAGTGGAATTCACTACAGCAAAAATCACTGGTCAAG